CAGTAAGCATTCAATGTCTTCAGACAAAACTGTGCTTGGCCAGCAGGTGGCGTGGTGGTTGAAGTGCTGGACTCCCACATGGCCGACCACGGTTTTGAGTCCCAGACGCACAGGCCTGCTTTCTCACTTTCTCTTTCTCTCTCTGGTGAGTGTACATGACCTACAGCAAATTTAAAAGAATAATAATAGTTACATTAAAAATAATTCTTAAAAAGAAAAAAACTGTGTGAGGAATATTACTTATGAGAATGTCCTTAAAACTCAGAAATCTGTGGGAACCAGCAGTTAGCGTAATGGCTATGTCAATGGACTCCCACATAGTCAACCGCGGTTCGCGTCTCGGACCCGGTGGCTTAAATCTCACGCCGGGCGCGTGTGCATGCGTGCCCAAGATCCCGAGAGGAGAATGGAGGAGAAGGGATTGCGGCGTGACCATCCCCCCGGGGGGTGATTTCTCGCTTTCTGTCTCACTGTCTCTCTCTGTCTGTCTGGCGAGCGCATGCGCCCTATAGCGAAAACCTCTCCAAAAAAAAAAAAAAAAACTCAGAAATCTGTTCAGTAACAACACACCAGGCAGGAAAAACGACCTTGAAAGTTACACTGAGAATATTTACTGTCCTCGTGGAGCTGAGAGTTGGATTAGACAAACAAGGCATTGCAAATGGACACAAGGCCTCTTTTTGGGGTGATGAAAATGATCTGAAATTAAATTGTGAGGCTGACAGGTGGCACAGTCATTGGGGTGCTGTATTCTCACATGACTGACCACAGTTTGAGTCCTGGACCTAGCAACTTGCTCTCTCTCTCTCTCTCTCTCTCATCAAATTAAGAAATGATACTGAATAAAATCAAATAATTCTTTTTTTTTTTTTGAGAGATTTTCACTGTAGGACGCGTGCGCTTGCCAGACAGACAGAGAGAGACAGAGAGACAGAAAGCGAGAAATCACCCCCCAGGGGGGATGGTCACGCCGCAATCCCTTCTCCTCCATTCTCCTCTCGGGATCTTGGGCACGCATGCACACGCACCCAGCGTGGGTTTTAAGCCACCGGGTCCGGGACGCGAACCGCGGTCGACTACGAGGGAGTCCAGCAACATAGCCATTACGCTAACTGCTGGTTCCCAAATAATTTTTTTAAGAGAGATAGGAGCATGTGCTTGCCAGATAGAGAGAGAGAGAGAGAGACAGAAAGCAAGAAATCACCCCCCAGGGGGATGGCCACGCTGTAATCCCTTCTCCTCCACTCTCCTCTCAGGATTTTGGGTATGCATGCACATGCACCTAGCTGCCAGGTCCAAGACTTGAACCATGGTCAAATGTGTGGGACTCCAGGAATGTAACCATTATGCCATCTTCTGGTCCCTAAATAAAATAATTCTTTAAAGAAATTCAATTATGGGGACCAGCAGTTGGCATAATGGCTACATTGCTGGACTCCCATGTAGTTGACCATGGTTCGAGTCCCAGACCCGGTGGCTTACACTCATGCTGGGCGCATGTGCGTGCTCGAGATCCCGAGAGGAGAATGGAGAAGGGATTTTGGCGTGGCCATCCCCCCTGGGGGGTGATTTCTCGCTTTCTGTCTGTCTCTGTCTTTCTGATGAGCGTACGTGCTCTATAGCAATAACCCTTCCCCCCCCTAAAAAATGTAAATTATGGTGATGGTTGCATGACTCTGTGAATGTATTAAAAATCATTGAATGGGTGAGTTTCATAGTTCTGTAAATTACACATCAGTAAAATTAAAAATGTATCCTATACAATCTGTGTCATCAAGGAAATCAGAAATGTTCACAGCAACCCAATCAAGCCAACTCGCTAGTAAATGTACAGTCACATCTCAGATGCACACACCCCCAAAACCAGCCCAAGGTACCCAAGGTGTGGATATTCTTGCAGGTCTACCTCCTAATCAGCAAGAGGGCAGGAAGCCCCTGCTGCCCTGCAGGCTGGTGAGGAGGGCATGCCCCTGTCTGTGCTCTTCCTCGGTACTGGTTGGGCCTCAGCCACCACTCGGTCTGTGGTGAGCACAAATCTCCAGCTAAAAAGGAATCGCTAGTGACTCTATTCCCTCCCCTCAGGTAGAATAAAACATTTACAAATATTTTTAAATGAGAAAAAGAAAACCTCGAATTTACAAGGAAAGGTCAGTCCAGTAACACTCATGGACGGTTTTCCTTTTTGTTACTTCACGCAACCCAAAGGGAGGCGGTCAGAGGACTAGTCTGACTTGTCCTGTCAGCTCCCAGGGGGAGGTCTGAATAATGGTCCAGGACTAGTGTGGCCACTCTGCTGTGCCTGGGACCATTCTGGTGACACCTGTAGTGCTGGTCCCCAGTCCCCTACACCCCTCCCCGATTTGAGCGATAAATGATGCGCCAGCATGCTCGAGAGCCAGGGCAGAGGCAGACGGCGATGCAGCATGGCCGGACTCTCAGTGCTACCCAGTGGTTACTGCCCAGAGAGTGGTCTCTGCTGACCAGGGAGGGTCCTGATGGGTCACAAAGTGTACAACGCACTTTAAGAATCTGGGTGACTTTTTAAAAAGTTTTGCCAGAGGGTACATGTGTTCAGCAGAGACACACAGAGAGAGTGAGCACACCCTGTGGGGAACAGTCACACCACAATCCCTTCTCTCCTATCCCTCCTTGCAGGGTTTTGGGCAGGCACATAGATGTACCTGGAGTGTTTTCAAGCCACTGGGTCCAGGATTCAAACCATATAGTTGGCCATATGAGATCCAGCAGCCCTAACCACCATACCACCAGCTGGCTTCGATTCTTTTGCTTTTAAAGATTCATGCCTGGGGGCCAGCCAGTGGCACTGGACCATAGTTTGAATCCTGAACCTGGAAACTTGAAAAATCACTCCAGGTGTGCATGTATACCCAAAGTCCCATGAGGAGAAAGGAGAAGAGACTGCAATGTGGCCATTCTCCCTGGGGTGGGGGTGGGGGGTTCTCACTTTCCCTCTCACTCTCCCTGTCTCTCTCTCTGGCAATCACACACTCTATGGTAAAAACCTTCAAAAGAAAAAAAAAAAAAAAAAGACTCGTGCCCAGTCTCTTTCCTGAAAATTCTGACAGACCAGCCTGATTAAGAAAGCCCAATCTCACGTCATCCTCCTTCAATAGCAACCCTCCCCAAAACCCCAACCTCCCTCTCTCAGGTACTGTCATCCACACTGGCCTTCTGCTGGCGGGCGGCCTCCATGGACGTTCTTCTGTTTGTGCTCACAGATTCACAGATACAGGAGGGTGGGGGCTGAAACTGTGTCCAATGGAACAGCACAAGCATGGGTTTTGAATCCAGCGTGGTTTCACATAAACGGTTATGAAAGAGAATTTTCTCGTTGCCTCTGCACTAAAATAGTGACTCGAAAGAGAAGTCTTGGCAGGAACGTGGACCTTTCTCATTTACAGACTAACCAGGCCGCGGGCCTCCGCTTAACCAAGACCTCAAGGCTGTGTGCTCATGTGCTTCCACAAGTGTCAGTCAGGCTGTAACCTTTGCTCAGGTTGGCATGGGTACGACCTTTCTGTGGCTGCCCAGGAAGTGCACGGAGAGACCCTGAGAGAGCTGCCCTAGCGCCCGACGCTCTCCTGTGCACACGGGCTTGCTCTACTACTCTCTCGCTCGCCAGGCAGCAGAACGACAGATTTCCTGGCCCAGGGACACTCAGGACATGCTGTGCAGCTCCCTCCTCCATATCCTGCCTGACCCAAAGTGCAACTGAGTGAAAGGGACCACAGTCCAAATACATTTTAAAACCGGTAACATTTCAGGTGTTTGATTATGTTCAGGACAGGTGGTATTCTGGTTAATACAAAGTCACTATGTAATTTTACTTTAAAATGTAAGAAATGAGTCAAGATTCCAGTGTGTGAAGGCTCTGTAAGTGACAAATTCCACTGTGTGCATGTCACAAAAAGCACGTCCTGAACATGAGGGCACTGGGAGAGCCTGTCGAGTGTCAGTGGGGCTTTCCAGCATGGGTAATTGGGGTGTTCCGTCTCATCAGACCAGTTTGGAGAAAGGGGCCTTCTTAGCTGAAGCTACTAATAAAGGAGAGTGTGCTGCAGACCCTGGCTGCCGACTCCTACCACAGAGCTTTGTCACACAGCCCACGGTGAGACGGCAGGTCACGGCTCTCGAATGTGAGCCTTCCAAACTCCATACGAAAAGCTCGTATGTGAAAAAAACACAACTAGAAAGAGAAAGTAATTTGCTACGTGACCTGAACATTGCTGTGCAGGCCATGCAGCCAAGCTGCCCTGGGAGACAGGACCCAAGAAGACCAGGCGGCTACTCCTCAAGATTTGCTTTTAATCTTAGTTTAAAAGTGGTTTCTTTGGTTGTCAATACTACAAAAAGCAAAATAAATAAATAAAACACACACGTGCACAAAATCCAAATAGGAGAGTTCTGTCTAGACCCCTGAGCACACGCTCCACCCAGAAGCTGGTCGATGAGTGCAGGTGCCCTCACCAAGTTCTTCTGGGGCCAAGGGCAGAGCTGGCCAGCTGGGTCCTGATCTCCAGGGACTGACCCCAGACCAGGGCCCTGCAGCAAAAACTGCCCATTACAGTTTTCTGCGGCCTTTTTCTTATTTAATGGGCCCTAACTGCTCTTTGAAGTAAGTGTTCACTTAATTCTGTCAGAACAGAGTTAAGACTACCCATCCAAGAAATGTTCTTTCTGGTCACCTATTTGAGCAAATATACTAAAAACAGTGAACTGTACATTCTCAGTGAGTGACTGTGTGAACTGTGAGTGATTTCTTAAAAAAGCTATTCAAGAATGTTCTGACTTCACCAGCAAAGAAACGCTGTCACAGTAAGAAAAAACTGAAGTCCCTATTTTGCTGTGGAAGTGCAGTGCTCAAGTCACGCAGGAAACTGTGTCTGCCCGGAGGCTTTGTGAGGTCTGGGCAGATACTGTCCCGTCACGTCTGCGAGGCCAGGCGCAGGAGCAGGGCTGGCGGGACTTTCAGAACTCACTTGGAGCAGGGGCTGATCACAGTTGGCGTGGGAGGGTAAACCAAGGCAACGTTCACTCGCTCGCTGCCGTTCCTGGGGCAGATGATCTCCGCCACTCCTTCGGGTCTGGGCTGACTCAGCAGCTCCCCTGCAGGAGAGAGAGAGAAGTGCATTCAGATCTGGCTGGTGCTGCAGAGGAGCAGGAGGAACTGTGGGCAGGAGCCGCTCCGTGCGCACGCCTGAAACCGCCACAAAGACATTCTGAGAGTGCGGCAGGCGGCCAGGAAGCCTCGTTTATTGCATGCTAGAGCCAAAGTCCCTGAAGCCCAGAAAGCCAGGGCTGACGAGGAGGAGTGTGCAGGGCCCGCAGCCCGTCAGAAAGACCTTGCACAGACGACCGACCTGGAGCGTGGACAAAGCGAAGAGCAGCCCAGCCTCCCTGGAGAGAGGGCTTCCTGTGTGGAGTGCATGTGGATTTGCCAGCATCCACACCATGGCTAATTAAAATCAAGTGACTAGCTTAATAGATCGCTTTAGTTCCTAAATAAATCACACTCTGCCCACCCTAAATGCAACCTCTGGACATCACTGAACCCTGCAGTAGGAACAGCTCCCTCTCCTGGGTGTCCCTTCTCCCACGTCCCAGCACCCTGGCTGTCCTGTGCTCATGGCCCACACTGTGCTCTCACTCCAGGACTTGACAAACAGCTGCTGGGTCCTGATGGTACCACCTCCTGCCTGCCCTGCCCAAACCAAGGCACGCTCCACAGCCCCGAGAGGCACCAGCCATTGCTTCCACTGCAACCCAGTGTTGTCTTCCCAGGACACACCGCCATGAGGGTACGTGTTCTTAGGCTATTTCCGAAGGCCTCTTCTGCAGAAGCGATCTCACTGAGGGAGACGCCCACCTGCCAGTGCAGAACCCGGAGCTTTAGGCACACAACTCGGCTCATGTTCGCGGTCCTGACGAGGACACGGCTCACAGAGCCTCTGCAGCAGCAGAACAAGAGCGCCAAGGAGCAGATTCAGGACAGGAACCCTAACCCTTCTCTGTGGCCTCTGACCTCTGCCCCACCCTTCACACTGCCCAGAGCAGGGCCTGCTGCTTCAAACCAGATCACATCTTTCCTAGGTGAGAAATCAAAATGACCATTTATTAAAATCTATCTATCTATCTATGAGGGTTTTGCCTTAGTGGGCACACGCTCAGTCGGAGAGAGAGACAGAGACAGTGAGAGGGAAAGTGAGAAATCACCCCTGGAGTGATGGCCATGCCACAATCCCATTCCTCCCTTCTCCTCCTGGGATCATGGGCATACACGCACACGCACCTGGTGTGAGTTTCAAGCTACCAGGTCCAGGACTAGAACTGTGGTCGACCCAGTGGGAGTCCAGCAATGTACCCACTATGCCATCTGCTGGCTCCTAAAACCATTGTTTTCAAATAGTGAACTAAACACTGACATTTATACTTTGATGAAAGATACTAATTTCCTACTCTGAACATTTTTATAAGGCTATGCACAAAACATGCTTTATGGAATTTGAGTTACTTAATCATTTGCTGTCAACTGGCCCCCCCCACACCCCGCCACAAAGACATTCTGAGAGTGCGGCAGGCGGCCAGGAAGCCTCGTTTATTGCATGCTAGAGCCAAAGTCCCTGAAGCCCAGAAAGCCAGGGCTGACGAGGAGGAGTGTGCAGGGCCCGCAGCCCGTCAGAAAGACCTTGCACAGACGACCGACCTGGAGCGTGGACAAAGCGAAGAGCAGCCCAGCCTCCCTGGAGAGAGGGCTTCCTGTGTGGAGTGCATGTGGATTTGCCAGCATCCACACCATGGCTAATTAAAATCAAGTGACTAGCTTAATAGATCGCTTTAGTTCCTAAATAAATCACACTCTGCCCACCCTAAATGCAACCTCTGGACATCACTGAACCCTGCAGTAGGAACAGCTCCCTCTCCTGGGTGTCCCTTCTCCCACGTCCCAGCACCCTGGCTGTCCTGTGCTCATGGCCCACACTGTGCTCTCACTCCAGGACTTGACAAACAGCTGCTGGGTCCTGATGGTACCACCTCCTGCCTGCCCTGCCCAAACCAAGGCACGCTCCACAGCCCCGAGAGGCACCAGCCATTGCTTCCACTGCAACCCAGTGTTGTCTTCCCAGGACACACCGCCATGAGGGTACGTGTTCTTAGGCTATTTCCGAAGGCCTCTTCTGCAGAAGCGATCTCACTGAGGGAGACGCCCACCTGCCAGTGCAGAACCCGGAGCTTTAGGCACACAACTCGGCTCATGTTCGCGGTCCTGACGAGGACACGGCTCACAGAGCCTCTGCAGCAGCAGAACAAGAGCGCCAAGGAGCAGATTCAGGACAGGAACCCTAACCCTTCTCTGTGGCCTCTGACCTCTGCCCCACCCTTCACACTGCCCAGAGCAGGGCCTGCTGCTTCAAACCAGATCACATCTTTCCTAGGTGAGAAATCAAAATGACCATTTATTAAAATCTATCTATCTATCTATGAGGGTTTTGCCTTAGTGGGCACACGCTCAGTCGGAGAGAGAGACAGAGACAGTGAGAGGGAAAGTGAGAAATCACCCCTGGAGTGATGGCCATGCCACAATCCCATTCCTCCCTTCTCCTCCTGGGATCATGGGCATACACGCACACGCACCTGGTGTGAGTTTCAAGCTACCAGGTCCAGGACTAGAACTGTGGTCGACCCAGTGGGAGTCCAGCAATGTACCCACTATGCCATCTGCTGGCTCCTAAAACCATTGTTTTCAAATAGTGAACTAAACACTGACATTTATACTTTGATGAAAGATACTAATTTCCTACTCTGAACATTTTTATAAGGCTATGCACAAAACATGCTTTATGGAATTTGAGTTACTTAATCATTTGCTGTCAACTCCAAACTACTTCAGAATTGAAACTGGCATCATTAGCATGTCTCATAGATAGCTGTGTGTGTCAGAACTGTATCCCCACACCAGTTAGGAAGAGATCCCAAATTTAAAAAGCACAAGTTAAAGATGTAAACATCAGAAGCTATCAGAGTGATGGAACGGGCCAAAGTAAGGCCCACTGGAGCAGGCCTGAACTGGAGTCTGCAGCACAAACCGCACTTGTAAGTCGGAAGGTCTCCAAACCCAACGGTGTGGTGCCAAGCCCCATGAGAGTTGTGTCTTTAAACAGGCCAGCCGTGGAGTGTGGGGTACTGAGGGAGAGGGTGCTCTGAGCACCTAGCCTGGCAGCACCCCTTCTGGGGCTGCCTCACTGCCCCTCCCCACCCCCCGGTATGTACAATGCCTTATTTCAGCTCTAAGAGCATCCCCGAGGCCAGAACGCAGAACAGGCTTCTCGAGTCCCCCTGAGAATGCCTGCTCTCCTGGTCAGAATCCCATACAGGCCTCAGCTCGGTCTGCCTGAGCCCCAGGGTAACTAGGCAATGCCAAGCTGTTGTCCTTGGCGCCTACTGGGTACTACTGGTTTATCTGATGGGCATGTGAGGCTCTTGGTGAGCAGAAGGCCAGCTTGCCAGAGAATCTAAAATGCTTTGTGGCAAACAGTTACAACCTGGTTACCAATTTTGTTTTTTCAGACTTTTGCTATAAAGGCACATGTGCTCACAGAGACAGAGAGACAGAAAGCAAAAAATCATCCCCCAGGGGGGCGGCCATGCCACAATCCGTTCTCCACTCTCCTCTCGGGAGTTTGGGTACACACGCACCTGGTGTTTTAACCCGCTAGGTCCAGGACTCAAACAGTGGTTGATTATGTGGGAATCCAGACAAGCTACCAGGTCCAGGACTAGAACTGTGGTCGACCCAGTGGGAGTCCAGCAATGTACCCACTATGCCATCTGCTGGCTCCTAAAACCATTGTTTTCAAATAGTGAACTAAACACTGACATTTATACTTTGATGAAAGATACTAATTTCCTACTCTGAACATTTTTATAAGGCTATGCACAAAACATGCTTTATGGAATTTGAGTTACTTAATCATTTGCTGTCAACTCCAAACTACTTCAGAATTGAAACTGGCATCATTAGCATGTCTCATAGATAGCTGTGTGTGTCAGAACTGTATCCCCACACCAGTTAGGAAGAGATCCCAAATTTAAAAAGCACAAGTTAAAGATGTAAACATCAGAAGCTATCAGAGTGATGGAACGGGCCAAAGTAAGGCCCACTGGAGCAGGCCTGAACTGGAGTCTGCAGCACAAACCGCACTTGTAAGTCGGAAGGTCTCCAAACCCAACGGTGCGGTGCCAAGCCCCATGAGAGTTGTGTCTTTAAACAGGCCAGCCGTGGAGTGTGGGGTACTGAGGGAGAGGGTGCTCTGAGCACCTAGCCTGGCAGCACCCCTTCTGGGGCTGCCTCACTGCCCCTCCCCACCCCCCGGTATGTACAATGCCTTATTTCAGCTCTAAGAGCATCCCCGAGGCCAGAACGCAGAACAGGCTTCTCGAGTCCCCCTGAGAATGCCTGCTCTCCTGGTCAGAATCCCATACAGGCCTCAGCTCGGTCTGCCTGAGCCCCAGGGTAACTAGGCAATGCCAAGCTGTTGTCCTTGGCGCCTACTGGGTACTACTGGTTTATCTGATGGGCATGTGAGGCTCTTGGTGAGCAGAAGGCCAGCTTGCCAGAGAATCTAAAATGCTTTGTGGCAAACAGTTACAACCTGGTTACCAATTTTGTTTTTTCAGACTTTTGCTATAAAGGCACATGTGCTCACAGAGACAGAGAGACAGAAAGCAAAAAATCATCCCCCAGGGGGGCGGCCATGCCACAATCCGTTCTCCACTCTCCTCTCGGGAGTTTGGGTACACACGCACCTGGTGTTTTAACCCGCTAGGTCCAGGACTCAAACAGTGGTTGATTATGTGGGAATCCAGAGACATAACCATTATGCCATCTGCTGCTCCTACCAATTCTATTAAACAAACGAGTTTCCTGTCCCCAAGATCAAGTGTCAAGTCAGAAACTCACTGTGCAGGGTGCTCTGCCTGGTGGCATCACTAGCCCCAGACCCAGCACCGAGGTGGACGGCATCTGCAGTTTCATACACGGGAACCCAGTGCTGATGTAACACCAAGCCACAGAATAGCCATTCACAAACAGCACATCTGCACACTCC